TCACGGAACCGGCTTTACTGACGAGATGTGCATGACAATCGCATGTGATTAATTGCACAGCCCTATATAAAGCTATAACTTATTACTATATATAAGTAAAACTATATAACATTTTTCTGTTACCTTGCAACATGCTATAAGTCACGTCTCTGCGACTAGACTTTTATTGTGTCTCCTGACGGCATCCATAATAGGTTTACCAGCTTAACTACAGTACCGTTTTGTTTATGGTGTACTGTGATACCACAGTAGACACTTTGAATCTTGTTTGTTGGATATAACAGGATATGTTCGCACAGAAGGCACGTGCCACTCTCCCAGATGGCTAAGCTGTTAACGCTACTGCAAGAGATGATCCATTTCCCAGTATGCACAGCACCTGTCAGGATCAGTCGAACCCTCTTGTAGTTCAGACCAGATCTGAAAACAGGTGGTTTGGTTAACCTGTTTGCATGCTGGTTGTTAATTTCTTGTTTTCCAGGACAAAGGAATTTGAAAATTAGTCTTCAGGGGCCGGATTCACAATAACATTCTTAAGAATTTAATTCTTGGTAACTGCCATTTCCTTCTTATTATAAGTTTAGAATTTTTTTTTCAAGATTTACAAAAACATTTCTTAAGAATGTTCTTATCTTAAGATTGTTCTAAAGAAAAAACTTTGAATTAGAATTTGAATGCCTGAAAAGGAAATCCTTAAAAAGCTCTTCAGGCTATTTCACACCGCAACAACTGACGTCGACCAATAGCTACCATCACCAGATTGCAGTATGTTACTTCTCAGATATTCCAAATAAACGAAAAATGTAATTTCAACAAGTTCAGTGGCGAAAACAAACAATGACCAATGCCAACACAAGCCAACAGGTGTAACACACTGATCCAAAAAAAAAACAACGATCAGGTCTATTAGCATTGTTCATTGTTTGTTGGAACAGTGTGTATTGACCTTTAAAGTGGTCCTATTATGCTTTTTCAGTTTTTCAACTTTAGTTAGTCTGTAATGTTGCTGTTTGAGCATAAAAAAATCTGCGAAGTTACAAAGCTCAAAGTCCAATTCAAAAGGAGATATTTTATTTAACAGAAATCACTTTTCAAAAACTACAACGAATGACTCGTTTGGACTACAACGCATATTATCCAGGATTTGTGATATCACAAATACCGACGAATGGGACGAGACCTGGTTGAGCTGCACTAGAGAAGGCAACGAGTGTTGGAGCGTCGGAGACACGCTAGCTTTCCCAAGGCAGACAAACTTAGAGTGGTTACAATCATCCGGGTTTAAATCACGCTCAAATTGATTTGATTTTGACGCAATATTTACACTGAAGCTCACACGCGGCTATGGTAAGGGGCATGACATTTCCCGACCAGGCGCCGAGTGGTGCCAATCACAACACACACTGGCCCAGCTAACCAATCACAGCACATTTCGCATTTCAGAAGGCGTGCCTTCATTTGATACAGGAACTATTCGAGTCGTTCATGCCAGACTGGGGAGAGAGGTGTTGTAATAATGTAAAATATGTGAAAAATAATGTGTTTTTCGAACAACCTAGAATGAGAGCCTGTTCTAGTACACCCCCAAAACAAAATCAAGACTTTGTAAAAGAGCATAATAGGACCCCTTTAAAGTCTGGATAACCTTCAACCTGTCTTAAAAGTTGGGGATAATCTCCCCAATGGTAAGATGCTTAATGATTTTATTGGGCTGTTACATTCATTAGAACATAACACTAGCTGCATATATAGCTACATATTTTTGTACATGCTAATAGTGCAGCTCAAGGTGCTGATCAGCTAACAAATTCAATGTTAAAGATCACGGAATGGCTAAAACATAATTGCTTACAACCTAAATGTATCGAAAACTGTATGTATGTTTTTTAGTAAAACTAAAAGTTGCCGTGCGGAGTCAGATGTAGTCATAGATGGGGAGAGACTACAAGTTGTCTCAGATTTTAAATATCTGTATATATTGATAGCAATCATACTTTTAAAACGCACATCAAGAAGGTTTGCAATCACAATAAGTTCAACTTGGCAAATTTTAGATATGCCCATAGCTGGATGTCAACAGATTTAACGAGAAGTGCAGTAAGAGGTGATTGCATAGTCCCTTTAAGAAAAAGTGCATTTAGTCAAACGGTGTTTTCAGTTAGGGCTGCTCGTGAGTGGAACTCCATCCCAACTTAGATTATAAATTTTAATACTTATGCCTCCTTTAAGTTTCACTTGAAGAAGTGGTTAATTGAGAGTCAGTATTGTCAACATTAATTTTATAAACTAAACTCTGCTGCTGTCTTGTCTTTTCTGCTCTACTAGTTTGAGATTTTTATGCTATGTATATGAGGTTGTTTGGTTTAGTACTGATTGAAGGATTAGGGCTATTGTTACTTGATATTATGATATTATTGATACATTGTTTATTATTTAGTTTGACAGTTGGATTGTGTGTGTATGAGTGAGCTGGTATTGATTTGTTGGTTCTATGTATAGTGTAACTTTTAAGCGGATGTTGTTGTTGTTTTTTTAGGAATAGTGTGAATGTTATATGTATTTTGGAGTATGTAAGTATTATGTATTGATTAATTCTTTATATTTTTAGGGTGACAATTTTACCATCAGTCCAAGGACTGCAGATGCAAAATAGCCTTCTGGCTAATTCTGGCACATTGTACATTTATGTATTATTATTGATGTGCATTGTCCCGGTCAAATAAACCTGAAATAAATAAATATATCACTTGAACTCGCAATGTGCACAAGTACTCAAAAGTGACACCAGTGATCCATTATGTAAACAATGATCAGTCATGATTATGTGTGATGACTGTAGAATTCGAAATTCTGTCAAACATGGACTTTATTTGGAATTTTTTAATTACAACAACACTCTTTTTATGATTATTACGGTAATCTGCAAGGCAGTACAAAAAGACAGGCTTTTTTAGTTGATCGGCAAATCTTCAGCAAGAACAGACATGCAATCAAATAACACCTGTCATTTAATAAAAATAAGGTGTTCTTAAGGAAGAAGATAAGATTTTTTTTAGTTTATAAGAATGTTCCAAAGTGAAATTCTTGAAAAATTCTTAAGAAGTTATAAAATATTTTCTTAAGAAGATTTTCATGAATCCTGTCCAAGTTAGGTAAGATTAGCTTCCTTATTTTTATAGTGAAGGAATATGCACCTAATTAAAATTCTCACGTACAATAAGAAGCCACGCCACATAGCTGCTTTATGGGTCATAGTTTTGAAGCTGTTCAACATGTCCTATTGGTGATCCAGCATCGTTTTATGGATTATGTTGACCTGAGGAATGGAATATTGATTAACTTGTATTTCCATTACGTATTTAGAGACTTTTGTTGTTTTTATTTTAAGGTAATAGATTATGTAGATATGCAATGGTGCAATTCTTTATAGTGGTATTGTATAAAGATGACAGTGGCCTCAAACAGGTAAAAGCTAAAAGTACTCCACCCAAGCAAACAAATATGTATCTGTGTGTGTGTGTGTATATATATTTATTATATATTACTGAAATTAATTATTGTTTACACTTACAATTTTTTTACTTATCAAAATACATTATTATATATTTATCTTTTATATCAAAATACAAATATAATATTATTATATGTATATTGCTGTATTTATTTATTATTCACACTTATTTTTTAAATTCTACATTCACATTTTTTTGTACTCAAAATTTACTAAAATTAAATTTTAAAACAGAAAATGTATACTATATATTGGCATGGCTATAGAGTTTGGCAGTGATATGAGGCTGAATAATGCACTTCTGTTAATTGACCTGGCCAATGCCTTACTCGGTCACTCGTATTAATTGATATATTTTCATATCTCTAAAATCCGTAAAAATGTACAAATCTCATTACCGCAAAGTTATGGCTTGTTGACACGTAATGATGATGCATTGCCATCTGTATCTAAATACACACAGGATCTAAAATTAGATCTGTGGAGAGCAGCGGTAATATCATGCCCTCTTTAGACACATATGTGACCCTGGAGCACAAAACCAGTCTTAAGTCGCTGGGGTATATTTGTAGCAATAGCCAAAAATACATTGTATGGGTCAAAATGATCGATTTTTCATTTATGCCAAAAATCATTAGGATATTAAGTAAAGATCATGTTCCATGAAGATATTTTGTACATTTCTTACCGTAAATATATCAAAACTTAATTTTTGATTAGTAATATGCATTGCTAAGCACTTCATTTGGACAACTTTATAGGCGATTTTCTCAGTATTTTGATTTTTTTGCACCCTCAGATTCCAGATTTTCAAATAGTTGTATCTCAGCCAAATATTGTCCTATCCTAACAAACCATACATCAATGAAAAGCTTATTTATTCAGCTTTCAGATGATGTATAACTCTCAATTTCGAGAAATTGACCCTTATGACTGGTTCTGTGGTCCATGGTCACATATTAATTGCCTGACTCCTTGCCAGTTAAATTTTCTCTTCAGGACATGAAGGTAGACCAGGGACAAACTTCATGACAAAGAATGTAATTTCACAGTGAGCAAAA